AAAAACTTACTTCCACAAAAATATAAGGAGTTAGACATGTGTTTTAGATGATAGAAAAAGAAATATGTTTTAGATGATAGAAGAATAGCATTGGAAATAATGCTCATTAGCTGTCAAAAGCATTTGGTGTCATCAGTAAATTTAAGCTTCTTTAAAGTTATAGTGGATTCCTAAGTTCTGTAAGAGCCTGTAAGAGAGTATGGTTTGATATTCCTGTCTTTTCTTCTTCTCAAATGAAATGAAGAGAGGTTGGAGGGGGGAATGGAACTGAATTTATTCATTTTAAAAAACTAAAAGGCACCATACTGAGAAGTGTTACACAACCATAACTGAGACAATGAGGATAGGCCTAGAAGTTGGTTTGGAATATATTTTAAGTCCTATAGGCAACAGTCTCAATTCACCTCAAGCTATGAACATAATAAAAGCCTTGAAACATTCATTTTGGGACATATCCCTTGCAAAAAATAAAGAAAACCCAGATAGTTTATTATTGTTTCTCTGATTTTACTCCATCCAAAGAAAAAAATACTCTTATAAACATTCTTCCAAAAGTTTTTCTACTTAAAAGAGAAAAACTAGGGTACCTGGGCGGCTTAGTGGGTTAAGCGGCCTACTCTTGGGTTTGACTCTGGTCACGATCTCAGGCTGGTGAGACTGAGCCCCAAGTCAGACTCCGTGCTCAATGGGAAGTCTGCTTGAGATTCTCTCTCTCTTTCTCTCTCTCCCGCTACCCCTCCCCCATGTGCTTTCTCTGTAAAATAAATAAAAATCTTAAGGAAAAAAAAGAAGAAAACCCTAACCCAAAAAGCAAAGACCATAAAAGCAAAAATAAACTGGTGAGACTTAAATTAAAAAGCTTCTGGATATCAAAGGAAACCATTAATACAAGGAAAAGATAGCCTATGGAATTGGAGACAATATTTGTAAATCATGTATCTGATTATGGGTTAATACTCAAAAAGTGTATAGCAATAACTTGTATAACTCAATAATAACAAAACCCCCCAGCAATCTGATTTAAGAATGAGCAGAGGGATCAGGAGGGAGACAAACCATAAGAGACTCTTAATCTCACAAAACAAACTGAGGGTTGCCGGGGGGAGGGGGTATGGAGAGGGTGGTTGGGTTATGGACACTGGGGAGGGTATGTGCTATCGTGAGTGCTGTGAAGTGTGTAAACCTGATGATTCACAGACCTGTACCTCTGGGGCAAATAATACATTATATGTTAATAAAAATAATAAAAAAAAAAAAAAGAATGGGCAGAGGCACTAGATAGACTTTTTTTTTTTTTCCAAAGAAGGCACGTAGATAGCTGATGGGTACATGAAAAGGTGCTTGATGTCACAATCATCAGGAAAATGCAAACCAAAACCACAATAAGATATCCCCTTACATCTGTTACCATAGCCATCGTCAAAAAGATAAGAGATTACAAGAGTTGGAGTGAAAGTGTAGACAAGGGAACTCTTGTGCACTGTTGGTGAGAATGTAATTTGGTTCAGCCGCTATGGAAAATGGTATGGTGCTTCCTCAAAAAATTAAAAATAGAACTACTGCATGATCCAACAATCCCACTTTTTTTGGTATATATTCAAAGTAAATGACCACAGGACCTTGAAGAGATGCACTCCCCTGTTCATAACAGCATTATTCACAATAGCCAAGACATAGGAACAACCTAAGCGTCCATCAGTGGATGAAAGGATAAAAAAGATGATATAGGCATACAGTTGAATACTGTTTAGCCATGAGAAAGAAAGAAATCCTGCTATTTGCAACAACGTGAATGATTCTTGAGGGGGTTATGCTAAGTGAAATAAGTCAGACAGAGAAAGACTAATACTCTATGATATCGCTTATGTGTGGAATCTAAAAAAAACCAAATTCATAGAATCATACTAGAATGATGGTTGCCAGAGGCTTGAAAATGGAGGAAAATGCAGATGCTGGCCAGAATACAACTTCCAGCTATAAGACAAATAAATTCTAGGGATCTACTGTACAGTATAGTGATTATAGTTAATAATACTGTATTATAGAGTTGAAAGTTGCTAAGATGGTAGATCTTAAATGTTCTCACCACAAAAAAGAAATATTAATTATGTGATGTGGCTCAGGTGTTAGCTCAAACTATGGTGATAATCATTTTTGCAATATCTATCAAATCAATAACACTGTACACCTTAAACGTACACGATTATTTCAAATGCCAAAGAGTGTCCATTTGTACCTGTGTGTCTGCCTGCCTTAGTTACCTATTGCTGCAAAACCAATGACCACAAATTGATCAATTTAAAGAATACATATTTACTATCTCTTTTAGGTGGATTAGGAATCTGGACACAACTTAGCTAAGTCTTCTGCTTCAGGATCTCTTACAAGGTTGCAATCGAGCTGTTGGCATCTTGATCTCATATTATCTGAAAGTTCATCTCATCTGAAGGTTCGATTGGGAAGGAGTGACTTCAAAGATCGCTTTTGTGTTTGTCAGTTACCATTATTCAGTTTCTTTTAAGCTGTTGGAAGGAAAGATTTATTTCCACCTGGCTGTTGGCCAAAGGTTGCTCTCAGCTTTCTGCCACTAAGATCTAGCCTACATGGCACTTCGCTTCATCAAAGCCAGCAAGGAAGAGTTGACTTGGAAGACAGAAGTTATCATTTTACATGATAAAATTACAGAAATGATATTCCATCACTTTTGCTCTATCCTGATCTTTTAGAAGTAAGACACAAGCCCACACTCAAGGGGAGGAGATTAAGCAAGAGTATGAATATCAACAAGCAAGGATCCCTGGGGTCCTTCTTATAGTCTGTCTCAGACTGTGGGTCGAAGATTGACGGTGTTAAAATCATCTGAAAAATGTTGGTGTATTTACATAGAAAAGGTATTTCTGGCCATAAGAGATATGTAATTCAGCTCTGCAAAGTTATAGAGGAAATAAAAAGTTTATCTTTAATAAGCCTCAGTTTTTAGTTATTTATTTTTCAGGTTTAAAAAGTGATCTGATTTGGGTATTTCTGTCATTATCAAAAAATATTTAAATTTGTTAGATGTTTAAAAAATATCCTTATGCTTCCCCTTGTGGCTTTCATAATTTAAAATTTAATTGAATTTAAAACATCTTAATTGGTAAACAGCCAGTATGTACATACTTAAACTCACCACCTCATTTATTTTTTTGAAAATAGAAAAATCTATTAAAATATGGCTTTTACTGCACGTCAGTTTGACGTTTTGCCTCACAATATAGATGTGAGCAATAGTAATTATGGGATAGAAATGTTTCTATTATTGGTAATAAATGTTACTTATTTGAAAAATATCTCTATTAATCTCCTTCAAGATCGCATTTAAAATGAGCATTGCTTAACGTATAGAACTGTCGAATCACCATGACATACACCTGAAACTAATGTAACATTATATGTCAACTACACTTCATTGATAAAAAAAAAAAAAATAAAAATTAAATGATTAAAGTCAAATGCATGTACAGAAAGATGCAGTCACAAGGAAAAGGGACTCATGACAAAACAGTATGGCTATCAATGTCCCAGTTTGCTAATATCTGCAAGTATTTTCTCCATTTCACCAATGATTTGGGGTTCCCACAGCTGAAAGTCCATCCTTGTGTAGCCCAGGGCTGTCCACCTTTCCCCAGATTGGCCCTTCATTGCCCTAAACAGCAGCTTGAATTATTGGCTCAACTGACGGAAATGTGTTCTGTCTTTTCGCCAATAAGAGCTTCTTTCCATTATAATGCCCCCCCTTTTTAAAGACGATAAGAAAAACGGGCAATAAATTAATGACTTTTTAAAAGTCTAAACTAAAACATTTGTGAATAAAATGGAATTTAATGATAAGACACAGAATGTCCAGCTTCATTCTCATTAAAGAGGAAAGTATTTATGTATCTAGTAAAGGCTTAAAAATAACTAAGCAGCCAGCAGCACCAACTTAAAGTTGGGAAATAATGAATCTGCAAATCATTATTGATTAAGCTGTGAATTCAAGATCGCTTCTTAACCTAAGAACGTTTCGTGACCCATACTTTCTTTTTTCTTTTATTTTGTCAAATGAGTTCAACTCAATTAGTAGTATTGAACATTCATCCGATGTGTGGAACTCTAGGAAAGTGAAAAATGCTCAGATTCAGTCTTTGGCCTGCTTGCCAGGAACTTAGTTTGCCTAAGTAATGTCAGGGCTTTCTTCCAATCCAACCCCACTTGCTCCTCAAGGCAAAAGTCTAGGTCATTCACTTACAGAACATTCTGTCCTTTGGCCTGTGCATGTAAAGTACATTTAGATCCTTAGCAGAATCCCTTGGTTCCATCAGGACAATAGCCTTCCTCTAGACAGTACATGAATCCCTTGGTTCCATCAGGACAATAGCCTTCCTCTAGACAGTGAAACAGCAGGTGTAGTTTCATATGGAGAATAGGGGCAGGATCAGTCACAGAACAGTGGTGGGAACCAGGAGGCTCCAGTCACAAAGGAGCTAATGAGAGCAGAGAGTCCAGCATCTTCTAGGACCTCCTGGGTGTCAGGCTTTGGGAGAACCAAGTGGAAGAAGACTGCAATGTTGTCTCCATGTTCCATGGAGAAGATATCCAGACTGGGAGCCATGAGGTTTCAGTTCTGGCTTTGCCACTTACTCATCAGCTCAATGCCCTTGGACACATTTTAATCTGTTTCTTCCTCTGTTATTAAAACTGAGATTAATAAAAGTAAACTATATAAATCCTCTCTCGTTTTCATAATGAATGGCAGCTAAGGAAAATACTTCAACCATAAGATCAAAATCTTTTTTTTTTCCTTCTTGAAGATTTTTTATTTTATTTATTTGACAGATCACAAGGAGGCAGAGAGAGAGGGGAAAGCAGGCTCCCTGATCAGAGAGCCCGATGCGGGGCTCAATCCCAGAACCCTGAGATCATGACCCGAGCCAAAGGCAGAGGCTCTAACCCACTGAGCCACCCAGGTGTCCCCAGATCTTGTTCCTTCTTATCTGTATCAAAACTCATACTGAGCCATGAGTTCTGGGTTGCAAAAGAGGATTTATTTTTTGCACTTTGATCTTAGTAACGCTCGCATTCCTTGAATTAACTCTATGCGTAGTGGGTTAAAATATGGAAGCAAGTATTTACAAAGGAAAAGAGTCTACGTTTTCTGATGTATTTTCTATATGTTTGATGTTCTGCAATATTACGTTTGCTGCTTTGGCTGAACTTTATTAAAGGTTTATGATAAGCCAGGTGCTGAGTCACTTACGGACCATATTACTGTATCTTCCTAGCGACCCTTTGAATTAGTACCATTAGTACCATTCTCACTTCACAGATAAACAAACTCTGGTTTAGGAACACCAGGGGCCCTGCCCAAAGTCCCACAGGGAGTGTCTATGGTGTCTGCCAAACTTCAGGTCTCTGGTTTTGGTTTTTGTTTCTTTTTTACCACCAGTGTATCATGATAAAGTAGTGTTGGATGAGCTCTCTTGAGAGTCTTCATGCTAACCAATCGTCCAGGTATTCTCAATGAATATAAATAAGAGAAGTGAGTCATACTGTTGATAAGTGCCCCAGTTCTGACCTCAAAAGTCCTTCCTTTTTCACGATGCTTCTCATGGAAATAAAATATTAATCAAATCCTGTTTGAAATACTAGCTCCCGATATTTCTCTCTATAATAGTAGGTCTTTGACCGTGTTTCAAGGGCTTCTATTTATTTAGCATTCAAACTTTCTCCCTTTCAAATTCTTTGTCTAACCAGTGTTTCCAGATGGCTCTCTTAACCCATCCAAATCCAAATCACATCAACACATCCCTCTTTTTCTTCTAGATCTGATAATTACTGCCACTCCAGTGCATGCTCGGTCACATACCCCTAGAGCTGTGTGTGTCCACCTTTGGCCCCTGGAGGGCTGCAAGCAGAGCTCAGGGTCTTCGGAGCCCAGGTGCCTGGAACACCATAGGAACACACAAGAGATCATGGAAGGCAAAGCACACAAACACACATTCATGAGATGCGGTTGATTCCACTTCAAAGACACTTAAAAAAAAAAAAACTTTCTCTGTCTTTTTTCAATTTTGGTAAGGATGAATTCCTTAAAATAAACATGTTTGACAAAATAATGTATTTACACTTTACAAAGTTGGGGGGAGAAAATATTTCTCATAGCCTGGGATAGCCAACTTTTGCCATCCCAATTTACCTAGGATTGAAGACTTTTACAGGAATCTTTTTTTTTTTAAGTTTTAAAACTACCTCCTTACAAAACATTTTGAAAGCAACAACAAACAGTAAATTGTATTCCCAGCATGGTGAAACACACTAAAATACAGTAAAAACAAGATTTTTTTTAAACTGGATTTTTAAGATACATTTGCTTACAAACACTAAATACTTTGTCTTCTCACAGAAAATGATTAAAACTCTTTTTGAGAAGTGCAATCTGGCCATAAGGTGAAAACATCATGCCTCACAGGATCAGATTTTGACCAAGTAACTTCAGCTTGCCTCTTTGGTAAAAGTTTAGAGTGAGTTTTGTGTTCATTGAACATATCAAGGTGTGGTGTGGTGGGGTGGGGTGGGGTGGGGTGGGGTGGTGACAGTGCAGTGAGTGGTGAGGCAGGGAGTAATTGAGTATGGTTTCATCAAAAATGCACTTTTGCATGACATCAAAAGTGCTCCCAAACCGTGTAACTGTTGAGTTAAAAACTGTTGTTTTCCTCTCAGGAGAGGACGATTTTTAAAATAATCTGAAATATTAATTCTCCAAGGAAAACTGTCCAATGAGGAATTTAGTTCATGTGGTAAATTCCTCTCCAACCACCGCCCCCGCCCCACTCCTCCCCTTCCTTCCATCTGAATATTTAACATAAGAGAAAAGTCCTGCTCTATTTTTCTGCTGGAATCACAGCAGTTTCTGTTTCTAACCTAGGAAGAATGTGGTTGGGACTGAAAACCCCCCTGTCCTATTGTTAGACTCCCCAGCACTGATCCTTGCTTTTAACATCATAATGAAGGATGCTCTTTAGTGGATTATCTTGAGAAGGGATTAACGCCTTCAAGTCTTCTAGGGGGCAAGGTGTTTTGAGCCCTAAATACACACCAATTGCCTGCTTAACTTTTCATCTTATTTTGAAAACTGCCCAGCTGGAATTCAAATTCTTTTCCATAGAGCTGAATTTTATTAGTAGCAAAGTTGGAGTTGGTGGGGGGAGCAGATGCTAAGTATAAGCACGGTTCTTTTAATCTCGTGGGGCCAAATGCTTCAGATATTTCACTGGGACAGGCATGTCAGGATAAGACTCAATCTAAACTTTGCTATAAACTCGGCAAATGCTTAAACCCTCGCCCCATCTCCCAGGCCCATGACTGAATCTTTGATGAAAACCGTACTTCTACTAGTGCTCTACCTTTAAACGCCAATTGTCCACAGGGTCCCCGTTTACTGGCTTATAACATTATCATCTGCGTTTTTTTCTTTTTTCTTTTAAGTCACACTAAAACTAGAATTTAAATGCCTAATACACACACACGCACACACACTCACTTGAAAAGAGGACTAATTGCTCTATAATTTATAATCAAGTGGCTTCTCTAGCCTTTGCTTCTTATCTTAATAACCATTTATTTCTGTCTGCCTCTTACATTAATACTGAAATCTTGTGTTTTTTTTCATATTCAACGCACTCCTTCCTCCATTTCTGTTACTAACTACCCCATTGTGCTACTGGATGATTTGTCAGGAAACCAGATAGTCCTAAATCTGGTCTTTCTCCTACTTTTCTCTTAATTCCAACTTTTTTTTTTTTTTTTCCTTAGTGGCTTACGACTTAGCCTTTGTTCAACCAAAGACTATTTTTTTTTTTTTTTTTTTTTTTTGCCACCGAAAACACTCATTTTCAGTGTGAAAATGTGGGAAATGCCTTCTATACACATCCACGACAAAACTTTTTCTTGGAACTTTGTCTTTCGACCTGTTGTTTTTTGTTTGTTTGTTTGTTTTAATCAAATAGCAATAGGAATCACCTGCAGTTTTAAAAAGGAAGGTACAGATAAATTAGAAAACGCTCTGCTCGTGGCATAAGAAGTTTCACACATGCGTACAACAAAAATAACTAGAGAGAGATCTCGAGAAAGTGAAGTTTCACAATTTTTTTTTCCCAAACTCCGAGTAGCCAGGTGCACTTTCCTGTGAACAAAATGAAACGAACTCTTATTCTTTGTTTTATATATATAATAACTGTATTCCAGAGGCTCTGCTTTAATTGTAAATAATCCCCCGCATTCTTTCAGTGTAAACTCTTTAAAGAGTCATGAATTTTATTTATACTCTCTCTCTCTCTTTGAGAGTCTTTTGTTTATTTGCTGTTTCGTTCTTTGTGAAATAACACTCCCAGAGGAAAATCCCCCTCTCTGCTTAAGGAATTAGGCCAGAGACAAAAGCAAGGCATTCTTTAAGCCTTGTTTTGTGCTAAGAGAAATGTTTGACATTTCTGTGGAGAGGTGTTTAGCTTGGATTCATTAGGTCTTAGGGACTCTTTTCTCTTTTCTGGCCTTTCAGATTCTGTCACTGTTTTTTTCTGTGTTTGGTAGACTGAAGAGAATTTACCAGGGTGTAATTAGGTTTCCTACATTCGAAGAGCAAAAAATCCAGTTGCTTTAAATGAGGAGACCACGTATTCCCCTCCATCAGCAGGCCCGAACCTGAATCCAACTTTCTGATACCCCTCTGGGTGGGAGAACTTGTCGTAGCGGAAGCAAGGAAGAACAGAAAAGGGCTTTCACGGAAGCTTATGTCCTCATTGAAATAAATACCTCTTATAAGCATCTTTAAAACGTTACTTGACTATCACGCCCACAGTTCGACCCAGGAGGGCTAAGACATTTGGTTATCCTGTGCTTTGTCTGGAAACATGACATAAATTCAGCTTTAACATAATTTTTAATACAAAAAGAAAATGTGTGTGTGTGTGTGTGTGTGTGTACTTTTTAAAAAAATTTTACAACACTTCAACTGGGCTCCCTTCCTTCCCGTGTTCATTTAAAGGATATCTGTTGCCTGGCCTGGAAAGCATACATTTTTGCCAGATCATTGGCCTTCTGCTTAAAAAGAGAGATGTTTTTGCTAGATTATTAGCTGCATCTCCTGAATTAGTAGAAGTTCAGATATTTGGTAATTCCCCAAGTCCTCAAGCCAAAAATAGGGCTTGGTCATCTTTTTTTTTTTTTTTTTTTTTTTCCTTTTCTCCCCAAGGATGTGACATTACATGCTACACCCCAGTGACATGTTCTTTACTTTTCACTATTGCTTGCTGGTATGGAACCAGGGAAGGGGTAGAGTCAGGAAACCTTGAAGGCTCCTCCCAATAACAATCCAGAGATGAGCGCACGAGAACCCTACCGACCGTACAGGCTCCTTTCCAACGAAATCCCAGTTGATGTTCCAAAGCTTGCCAATCTCAGCCCAATGGCCTCTGACTTTCAGTTGAAGAAACCCACCCTCCAGTGACTATTAGACCATATGTTCTCCATCCATACCTCACCTGAGAGAGTGATGACATTAACGGCGCAGCCGAGGCGCTCCATGGCCAAGCCCTCACCAGCAACATCCTTATTGGGACGCAAGCTTTCTCTGGCTGGCTGACAATACCCCTTTGGCAGATCTGGCTGGGAAAGTGTTAATCAAAAACAAAAGGCAAGCACATTATAGAAAGGCCTTGTGGCTGTGATTGGAAAGACCAGATAACAAGATCTTTAACTAGTGGATTGCACCCTTGTCAAGGGTGTTTCTCCAACCCTCCCACATTCCACCCCCGCCCCGGCAAAAGTACTGAATTTCCTTATTGAAATTGTGGAGACCCTGTCAACTGTATCAGTGTAGCCCCATAAAGAAAGATGTGCATAAAGAGCTAACCTCCTTCAACCCACTGTCTCCAGGGACACTGTCACCTTGTGTCCCAATGGATCCTTTTCCACTGGACGTTGGACGTTACCATGTTTGTTAAAATCAATTCTGATCTTCATATTGTTTAAGAGAGAAACTCAGACTGTTATTTCTCCCTTCTTTTTGAAACCCTGAATTGTAA